GACCGAATTCATCTCCCGACGCAACGCAACGAAATCGGCCAACGTACCCTCGCCGCGCGCGCGTTTGCGGCATTAAGTGCCACCGCGGAGTACTTACGGCGGCGGTGCTTCCGAGCAATCTTAAGGCGGGCCGAAGCGATTTTAAGGCGCTCCCCGATCCGGAAGCGATCGCCCGAGGCCCAAGGCGACGAGAATATCGTCGTCCCGGGTGCGCGAACCCCGTCCGGGCCCTCGGCCCCATTTGCATGGTAATCGTTACAACGTAATAACGCGAGGTCGCGCACCAAGTGCACTCGGTAAATGTCGCTCTTCTCTCGACCTGCCGACTCGACTTCGACGACGAGCTTTCGCCAGGACGACGTTGCAACTTTTCTCGGTAAAATTCGACCGCGGACGATCTCGATCCGCTTAGGAAGAACCAGGCGAGGAACGAACCGCGAACCCCCTTAACGTCGATACGGAGTAATGAATTAATTAAAGGTCTCGTTGCGGTGGCCGGAGGCACCCCCGAGGTTGGCGCGACGGAGGGGCACTTTCGAATCATACTTGCAAATTCCGCTAATAGACGCATCAGGGCATCCTGCGACAAGAACCGGTAACGCTTGCCCCTGTTCGATTCCGATCCGATACAGCCGGCCGGTAATTACGAAGTATCGGAGATTTTTTTCTCCCCGGTCATCGCCGAGGGAGATACGCCGGGATAACGAGTTATTTACCTTGCGAGCGCGCCGCCGCGTCAACCTTAAGGCCCGGAAACGAGGTTTTACTTATCTCGATCGGCATTGTCTTCCACTTCCACTTCCGTGGAACGGAGAGAGAGAGAGAGAGAGCGCCCGTTTGCGCCGGCCACCGTTTTTTGCCGCCCCGATGCGACGACGTGCCCTTCGCGCACCTAACTCGAAGGCGAAATAAACCGCGCAAAAGGTCCATAAGGAGACGTACCGAGGATATATAATTATCGTAATTGCGTAGATAAGTGCGGGGAGATAGGTCCGAAAGGGTCTCGCGAACGGCTCCGCTTTTAATCCTCCCGTTATTTATTTCTCTGCGCGAATTTTTCCATTTGTCCTCGAAAGAAACGCCAAGAGGTAAGCCGATCTTCGGCACCTTCTTCCCGACCCCGAGCAGAAATACCGCTCTCCGGAACGAAATTCTTGGGTCGAATCGATTTTGACTCGCCGTCGACAAAATGAGACGTAGGCGCTCGGAGCGCTCGGAGCGCTCGGAGCGCTCGCGCGGAGTTACCTACGCCGATTGGCATCCGCTAATTGCCGCGCGCACTGTCAAAGCGCGTAACGTTCAATTAGCCATCTAATGAATCAGAATTCCCGGTAACTATCCGAGAGCGCGGAGTTAAGCGATAGATTCAATTATGCAACGAGTGACCGTAATTGATTGGCAGCCGGTCCAAGAGCACGGCGCGCACTTGGAAACAATTTCCCGTTACGCAAGCGAGAGAGAAGATCACGAGCGTCGAGGCCTCTCGGTCCCTTTCGGAAAAATCTTATTACCTATCCGGGGTCGATCTTCCGCGGGGAACGTTAAACGGACGGGTTGCGTAATCTCGGTACCGAGGAGTCGCCGCGAGTACGTCGAGTTCGCACCGTGGCTTCGAAGGATTTCGACGGGGCGATCCAGGAAAAATTCTTTCCTCCCCGGGGACGAATCGTCGAAAGACCCTACGAAAGACAAAAGGAAAAGGCACTCCGTAACCGATGCCCCCGTGTTCCTGGCCCGGTGCGGGATCCGCACACACGCGCGGAGCGGCGCGTTGACTCGGGCCTGCGAGTCTCTCGGCTCCGGGGTAAATTACAGTGTTTACGCGAATTAGATTTCGGTTTCGGTAATTTTCAGTTAATAACGAACCGAACCGGCGAACGCTAAGAGCCAGCCGAGCGCCATTAATGCCATTATAAGGTGGAAGGCTACCTACACTCCTCGAGGCCGAAGCGTCTTGGAACGAGCACCGACGGACGACTCTCCCGACGCGCATTCGACCCGTTATCGACGTCTTCTCTCGCCAATACGAAACGCCACTCGCAAAATGCGAGGTCGTCTCCCCGAAGGTTCGCGGCGCGTCCACGAGTCGGCGTGCCGCGTGTGCGTGCATCGCGCCCCACGGGCCAGGGAGTCGGGAAGAAATTGGAAAAAAAATGAGAAACCAGCCCGCAGGGTCGCTCTTACATTATCGTTCGCATTACGACGGGGGCTACCAGCATTATAAGCTTATTTCAGATAAATCGAGTCGATTAAAAGCGCCGCTTAGCGGCAGGGCCTCGGCCGCGAAAGTGCGAGGCCTGGCCCTTAATGACCGAATTCTTCCCCTTTCCGCGAATCGACGTTTCTGCCCGTTTTTTCGCGCGTTCCCGAGGGACCGAATGTCGGCGTTTCTTGCAACGTCGCGACCGATCGATCGATTCGCTGCATCGCGTCGGAGGTGCGACGCGACGTCGACTGGTCGAGACCCGAGCTCGGGGAGAATCGCTAATGCCGCAAGGTCGGGTGAAAGGAATTGTACGTTTATAGGAGTTACCGATCGTACTCGGGTACTTAGGCGCGCTCGCTGGTGTACGAGTCGGGCATCGAACGCGCGCGTGTACCCGATAGGGCCGTAACGCGGACACGAGGGTGGGAGGTTTATCAATCGACCGAGGTCGCGACGCAGGAGTAACGATGATCGACGTTTCGTTGGTCCAACGAAAACCGACTCGAGTCGGTCGACGTCCGGCTTTCTCCGTTCGCGACCGGAAGTGAAATGAAAAATAATAAGTGTAGAAGGAAATCTTCCTACGGGTACGACTCCAGATACGAAATCCATTGAAATCCAGCTTAACGCCGAAGTTCTCGGATTCCGCGAACTTGCGCCAACGGTCTGTGCACTTTTACCACTAAAATGAGAAACTCAGCCGAGGCGGTAATTAAACGTAATAAAAATAATTAAGCAATTCCACAGCAGATAGGACGGCACTTTGCATCACTTTGCGGAGTACATTCCTATTCACCCTTAGAAAAACACGTACAATCTTGCATCCACGAGTTTATATCTCTATTACGTTGTAGCCTGGGAGCAACTCGGAGCAGCGTTCGGCCACGTCGACCCTCGCGATCGAGAATTAAGACGCGAACGGAGCGATTCCGCAGGCGGGGAGTAACTGCCCGCATCTACGCAGGGTAGTTGGGTGCACCTAAGTGCACGCTCGGATGAAACTGCCCCGAAAAGAGTACCAATTAGGGCGAGCAAAGTGCTGATTTACCGCCTGATTTGGAGGATACGATTACGCGGAGTGGTGCTTCGGGGATGCATTTATAGATGCAGCCGAGGTTGCTGAAAAGGAAACGCGGTGTCGCTCTTACGACTTGTACCCTGGCGGTCATGAATGGCTTCCTCGTGTACATGGTGCCAACTGGTGGTAACGAAAACGTAACGTAAAAGCGAGCTCGAGAACTTATAAACTTGCGGTACCTGATGTATAATAAACTGTACAATAATTAATGTAATAAAGCAACTTATTGAACGATAACAATGAGTACGTTTAATTAGACGAGCATGTCTAACAAACCCTCTAATCACCTATTCCTGATCCTTAAACATCACTCGTAGATTTAAGGCATGAAACTCGGTGCCACCTCCTCGGTTGTCCTATGATCCTGTTACAAACGAGAAATTTCGGCCCCTAAAATTATTGCCCGAGAAAAACTCCGTGCCACCTCCTCGGTTATCCTATGTTCCTGTTAGAAGTCGGAAATTTCAACCCCTAAAATTTTTGCTCGGGAGAAACACCGTGCCACCTCCTGGGTTGTCCTATGATCCTGTTAGAAATCGGAAATTTCGACCCCTAAAATTTTTGCCCGGGAGAATTCCGTGCCACCTCCTCGGCTGTCCTGTGATCCTGTTCCATCTCTGGCGATTTGTAACAGGAACATAGAACGACCGAGGAGGTGGCACGGAATTCTCCCGGGCAAAAATTTTAAGAGTTGAAATTTCCGATTTCTAACAGGAACATAGGACAACCGAGAAGGTGGCACCGAATTTCGTGCCTTAGATTCACGAGTGATTTTCAAGGATCAGGAATAGGCGATTGGAAGGTTTGCTAGACATGCTCGTCTAATTAAACGTACTCATTGTTATCGTTCAATAAGTTGCTTTATTACATTAATTATTTTACAGTTTATTATACATCAGGTACCGCAAGAACATAAGTTCTCGAGCTCGTTTTTTACGTTACGTTTACGTTACCACCCCCAGGCTGCACCATGTACACGAGGAAGCCATTCATGACCGCCAGCGTACGACTCCCCTGTAAATGCGAGCGGACAGGATATGAGATCGCCGCAACAGTTTATGTACTAACTTCCCGAATTAATTGCGACGGTAACTTCGGTCGACGCTTCGACTCGAGGGCTTCTTTTCGACTTTAGAGCTACCTCCGCCAGTCGTATAAGGGTCGTTAACGTGGAAGTAAACGCATCGTTCCGCCCCTTTTGCGTAGTTGCGACCGATCTTTAGGCTTTCGTAAACGGAATGGTTAGATGCTAAAATTCCATCGGCGGCCCTAATAATTTTTGTTGCCAGTTTGAGTCGACTCTTGGAAGGAAAATTGATTCTTTATGCCGATTGGATACGCGTACGTTTCTCGGCAACGAGGGTTCGTTCCGTTCATGGAACTCTTATTAGGATTCGGCTTCCTCGCGTCGGTAATATCCTCGTAAATCAAAGTCCTTCTCGCGAAGGAAAACGAATTGCCCTTCCGCGAATAAAAGCCGTACCCTGACTCCCGGACGAGCTCGACGTCCTCTCCGAGTATTCGCCGTATCGATGATGCACCTTGGCGAGCGGCGTCCGGGTAAATCAGTCCCGTTCCCGGAAGGGGCCCATTCCGGCGTTATACGAGCGCCAGCCGCGGTCGGAAACGAGACCGCGACTTTTCCCGCTGGCAATTTCCGGAGTCGGCCGTTTCGGCATCCCGGGGATCGTTCCCGCTCGAGAGCGGCTCTCAAGGATGATTTCCGTCGGATTTTCAGAGAACCCGGACCGAGGGAGCAGCGAGGCCGCCTCGAGGACGAGTCCGGCGAGCGCTTCCAGCAACTCCGGGACGACCCCGACCACGACCCCGACCCCGACCCCGACCCCGACCCAAACCCAGACTCAGCACCGGCAGAGTCCCACGGGGTCCAGGCCGCAGCACCAGCAGCAGGGCCCGCCCCCCGCTCGGATGGGCATCTCCACCGAGGAGGCCGTAAGGCCCGAAGAGGAGGGGGCCCATCCCAGGGCCGCCCCCACCAGTCCCGAAAGCGAAGCGGAAGTCGACGACTTTGCCCCCAAGAGGAAGCAGCGGCGCTACAGGACCACCTTCACCAGCTTCCAGCTGGAGGAACTGGAGAAGGCCTTCTCCAGGACCCATTATCCCGACGTCTTTACCAGGTCAGTTTGGATCTTCGACGACCCTCGATATCGGTCTCGTTGGAAAACGGTCCCCTCCACCCGCCCCCGCCCGAGACGACGCGGCCAATTTTTATTAACGGTTTCCAAAAATAGTGGAAACCGACCGCGAGTAGAAGTCGCCGACAAATCTCTTTAATTAAGTCCCGCCGGGTCTTGGGAGGACTCGAAGGATCCAGGATACCGGGAGGTTCCCGGAGGGCTCCCTCGGCTCTAGACGATACCGCGGACGGCGTCTCCGATCCGGAGATAGGACCCGAAACGAGCCCACCTATTACTTTACCTCCGCTCGAGGGACCCTCGATAGCCTTTGGACGTTCCGAGAGTACTTTTTACCCCCCGGGCCGCGAATCCCTCTCGAAATGGACGCCCCGAAGACTCTTCCCAGAAATTCCGAATTCCGGATAAACGTTGCGCTTTCGCCGATCCTCAAAAATGGGGGATCCCTCTACATCGGGGTCAGCGTGGAATGAAATTCCCATCGGGCCGCGGAAATCGATCTGGAATATTTCTCAATGTCTTTTCGGATCACTCTGGCGATTTATTTTGATTACGTACCCATTCGAGGGCAACACCCACGGATTCTCGGGGACGTTTCCGTCGTTCCGCGCGGCGCCGGTCGCCGTTGCGGCTGGCCGGAGGTCCTCGGTTCCCGGTAAATGATCCCGAAGGATAGCTTTATATCCGAGCCGGGATAGGGATGAGTTTAATAACGATGATTGCTTCCAGTGATCCCAGGTACGAGGCTAGTTCCTTGAGCGCCCCGCTCCTGTCATTAAGCCCGACCCGACGCCGAGTCATTCTCTCGAGTTAACGCTTTCGTAACTCTCGCCGCGATTTTCGCCGGGCTTAACGTACGAGGACGAACCGTCGCCTCGGTGGATTCCGCTCGCTCGCGCCGAACGATTTTCCGAAATCTGACGGCCGTTAGGGATTTTTCTTTGTAACCTTAAACAAGTTATTTCGACCCGTCTTGATAGTTCTAGCGTTAAAGAAATTCTCCGACGACATTCGATTCAATTTCTCCTAAACTACCCGTCCTCGGAAGAGACCCGAAAGCTGGAAGGATCTTCCGGATCGATCGCGGTGATCTCTCGGATCTCTCGGTAAAATTCGCTTCCGCCTCCGGAGGAGCGGTAAAAGCTCTGAAAATCGGTCGGAGCGGAGGAGTAGCTCTCGATACCCCGGGCTTGCAGCTCCTATCTAAATTAGATCTTAACAGCCGGTAAAGTAAATGGCCCGATAGCGCAGAAGTAGTTTGCATACGATCACGAATGAACGATCGATTGCACGCGAGATCGGGATCGCCGACTATTGGCTAGGTTGCAAATTAAGCCCGCTCGAAACTCGTTCCTCGCGCGTTTCGCGAGTTATTAGAGGGAAAACAAAATGGCGCTCCGACCGTGTTAAAATCCTATCCGATCGAGGGACTCGGTTATGGTATACGTTTCTTTAGTCCGTCGAGGATTCCGGAGACACCGGCGAAACGGTGGAGGACGAAAGGGAATCGGGGACGACCGAGTTTCGCACCAAACGCACAAAATCTCGAGAGGAGGGAACTCGATCTCCCGAGTTTTTCCGAGGGAGGTCGATCCTCTCGCGGAAGCCGACTTCTCTTTTTGCGATCCGCGTCGGCCGAATGAATAATCGGCCGATCGAATATTCGACACGGCCGATCGCACGTGCCCTTCGCAAAGTCCAATGAATATGCATGTCGCCGGACTCGCGGCCTGGCTCGCCTCGGCCAATAAACCTAAGCGACCATAAAATCCAATTAACGCGAAATTAATATCATTACGCGTTCGCGGAGATGACGATGACGAAAACGACCGGCCGAGGGATATACCGGGTGATTCGGACTGCCCCGACTACCGGAGTCGCTCCGGAAGAATCGGAAGTCTCTCCGCTGAATCCGGCGCGATCCATGTTATCGATAAAATTTCTTTTACGTTCAACCGGAATTATTTGGCACGCGCGATCTAATTTAGATAAAATTTCTCTAAAGAATTTTTGCCACCGTTGTGGTAACGTGCCGGATAATATTGACTAGGCGCGGTAATTTTAAAAAACTTGCAACGGTTACCTCGCTTTGACAAATAAACTTAAACGACCGTAAAATCCAATTAACGAGAAATTAACGTCACCGTGTGTCCACGGAAATGACGAAGGGCAAAACGACCGGGAGATTACGCGCACCGATGACGATCGATTCGCGATCGCTCGAACTACGGAAATCGTGGGGAAAAATCGAATCGGTACCCCTCGCCTGCGCCTCGGACTCGATTCCTTGAAAGATTTGGAAAGACCTGTAGACTCCGAGAGACCAACGACAAGTCACGTAACCAGATTAGCGGCAGTCAAGGCTACTGGGTGTATCCCCCGGTAATTTGTTCATTCCTCGCTGATTACTTTGTATTTTTCAGTGCCCAGGCCCGTCATCTCGCGGCTCTAATGCCTGGCTCCAATTAAAGCGAAATTAATGTCATTAGACGTCGGCCGCAAAGAGGGACGTCGATGACGCGGCGATCGGCAACGCGGAATACAGGCCCACTCGACGACTCTCGAGACGCCGACTTCTCGTTGCGAGTCCCGATAAAAGAAGTGTCCGGAGAAATAAAAGAAATTCTCGAAACCCCTATCAAAAACGAAGGAAACTCAGTTTCTTCGAGAGATGAACAAAACGGTCGATTCGCGATCCCAAAGAAAGAGCCACCGCTCGGTCCTGACTTTCCCGAAAAAAGATTCGCGACCGGTTTTTGGGCCTCGCCGAAGACGCATCTTCGAGATTACGAGCATTAGGCCCTATCGACGAAAGCCGAGCCCGAGGACGCCGGGGACGGATAAGGCCCCTTAAAACGATGAGAATTACCGATGCGCATTCTCGGGGTGTCTCTTGCCCGGGGGCGCGTTTACTCGTTACATCTGGAGAAAGCCTCGGTTAATAACGAAGAACCCACGCCATCGGGTCGGATCGAGAGCGGAGCCGTTACGAGCGATTACACCGCTATTAGTTACCTACCGGGTGTTCCGCCGGGGAGGAAGGAAGGAAAAAGGGGAGAAAAAGGAGCCGGATGGATTGCCCTACACCCCATTGCGGGCGAGCACGGGCGTGCGCATAACCGCGCATAACCGCGCATAACCGCGCTTAAGCGGGCATAACCGGCCCGCTCTAGCGCGGGTTAATGTAAACGTGCCAAGACGAGGCCTGGCCGAGCCCGGAATTTGCATACTTACCGGAGAATCTACCCACCGAGAAAAACCAATGACGGATGAGTCCCTCGGCGAGACATCCGCGCGCACCCCGACACCCCAAAGAACAATCACCTGTCCCGCTCGGACTCGGCCGACGGGGGTCCACTCGAAACCAAAGAGTCCACTTACCGAGGGAAAAAAGACCCCCTCCCCGAGGAGATTTGCATAATTACCCGGTAGTCCGGCAGGATTAATGCGCGAAAAGGGGGAAGAAATTAGCGGTATCTATGAATAAATAACAAGCGGTCGATTAATAACGACACTCGACCGCGTCGAGTAAAGGACCCGCCGATTCGAGGGACGCCGCGAGAAGAAAGTTCGGAGGATCGATCGAGGCGATTTTCTCGCGAATCTCGACGAATGAAAGAATCTTCGATAAAAGAGGGCTACGGAAGCGGCGCGTTATTTCGCATTCCGGAAAGGTCGAGGTTTCCGAATCGATGCTCCACGACCCTTGCCACGGGGGACGTAATGCAGCCAATCGCGATTTCCCTCGGCGCGAAAAGCACGAGCCGACCCTGCGATTCCGTGGAGACGCCGCGGATTCCGCATGCGGTGGCGCGATCGAAGCGATTTCTCGCCGAAATTTCGCTTAGCCGCCGATCGAGGAGTAATCCGTCCCGCTTCCGCGGCGCGGATGCCGCGTCGAATCCGTAATTGGCTCGCCGAGTCCGCGCGCGTATTAAGGGCGCATTACGCGCGCATTACTCACGCATCGCGCACGCACCCGATGCGCGATTCGAGGCTCTTCCCCGGGTTCGGCTTGCTTTGATATCGAACGAAAGAAACACGGAAAAATGGAGAAATGGAAAAATACCGGATGGCAATGCCCGTGAATATGCCCGCGGGCAAAGAGATGAAGGACGTCTTCATTTTCGAGTTCGTTTGAAACATCCCTACATCAGAAATTATTTTCGCGTCGTTAAAATGTAGACCGTCGATAAACGTTAACGAGGAATTAGCAGTTTATCGAGAAGGAAAACTAGAATTCCGCCCCGAGAACCGATTTAATGGCCAGTTTCGCGATCGACTTGACCCCCGGGTCAAATAAATCGCGCGATCGCTCCAAGTATTCCTCTTTTATAAAGCCTCGCGCGTGTCGCTATCTTTAAAGAAAAAAAAAATATATTCCTTGCCGAGTTCGTTCTCTCGGTATCGCGACACCTTTCTGGATTTACGATCGGCCGATATTCCCGCACGTCTCGGTAGCTCGCGTTTGGATTCGATCGCGACTCCGATATGACGCACGGGGCGGGAAATAATTACCCTATCTAATTTGATTTATCTTCTCGCACTAAAAACCTCCTTCGAGATAATTGGATGGATTTCGAAAGAATATCCCGGCGATAAAATTCATCGATAAATTTTCCTCCCCGGCATTCTCGGAAGAGTCGACGCCTCGAGGTCCCTTTTTCGTCCTCCCCTCCGAATTTTTCTTCTCTTTCTTTCCTCCTTTTCTGGACGCGCGGAAATTTGCATCGTCCGTGTTTCCCCGCATCCTGCGATATCATTAGCGAATTCAGAGGGAGACGGAGCGTGGAAGACGCGAGAGATGGAAATTACATCGTCCCTTTCGGAGTAACCGACGAAAGGGCTGCCGGCAACCGCCAATCAAAGATGTCCTTCTAAACGCGAAATAAAACCGCGAATTGCATATTTCCTGGATAAAGGGGACGCGCGGGATTGCGGGGGGAAGAAGGGGCCGATGATAAATCCGCGAGCTCGACCGAGTCGATCCCTGTAATTTGCCCTCCTGAATTTCTTACGCCACATCGGGAGGGGCGAAAACGGCCCTAAACGGCCGGCCGCGGCTTCTGTGCGGTAATCACGGACATTTCTCCCAGATTTCGAGGAACATCTGGGCCAATTTGCCTCCGAAATGAGCTTGCGGCGCGGGACCTTGGGCTTTTCGGGACGTACCTCCGCGTGGGTCGGCTCGCTCCTTCGAAACTTGCCTCTGCTTCTCGCGAGTTCCCTCGTCGATCCTCGCCAAGGGAACTTTCCCCCGTCGCGTTAGACGCATCCGAGCCGAACGAGTGGAATCGTTCCCTCCCCTCTTGGAAACCGCCCGCGCCGCGATAATTCCGCCGACACGAGGCGCGCCCCTTCCGGCGCGGAGCCGAAGAGAAAAGAGTCGGCGCTCGCTCGGTGGTTCCCGTTACTCGTCGTTCCGGGCTCCGGGAACCGCGAGACGGAGAGGATCGATGCGGATCCCCGAATGGGCGAAAAAAGAAAGGCAGGGCTTTCCGGAAGAGCGGTGCTCCTCGGTGCGCCGACACCTCGCCGGCTCCTTCGGGGAAGCCGTCCGTTCCGTACACCTCGTACCGTTTCCTGGAGAAGGCGGCCGATCGCCCTCGATCGCCGATCGCCTCCGACCGATTACCCCCGGGAGGGAAAACTACCCCTTCCCGGGAACCGGAGACGGGGAGGTTCCACCGCTCTAATTCTCTCTTTCGTTTCCTTTTTCAGGGAGGAACTCGCCATGAAGATCGGGCTGACGGAGGCGCGCATACAGGTGAGTCCCCGACGACGCGACGTGGAGAAATCCCCGGCCTCGCCGCACCTCGGAGCCGAGGGTCCCGCGAGGGCAATTTCCTCCGTCGACGCTTTACATAACGCGGGCCGATTATATCCCCGACATTTCGTTCGGATAATTGTTCGGCGGTCGGGAGCGTTTGCAAGCTCGGGGCGCCCACCGAGGCCCGACGCATCAATGGGCCCGGCGCGACGGCGCGAACGGCTCTCTCCCGCTCGTTGCGTGAACAGCTGGCTAATTTCCTCAATTAGTTTAATTTATTCCCGGTATTTGCGCGCGCTCTCGGATTCCTCGCCGTTTCCCTCGTTTCGCGAAGGGGCCCGATCGCTCGCGGCCATCTTGCCGGCGGTTCTCTCCGTTTCGTCCTCCGAGCCGAGCCGGGCCTTTTCGATCGCGGCCCCCCTCGGGCCCCGGCTGAGCACCTCTGGCGGAATGACACGCACCGTGGGCCGCCGGTAATTATTTCGGAGAATCCGCGCAAGACCGAGTACCGAGTACTCGTTGACTCTCGATCTCGGGCCCCGGGACCGCTCGTCGAAGGGACGTCTTCATCGAGCCCCTCGAGAGGGGTTCGGCCCGGGGTTCGGCCCGGGGTTCGGCCCGGGGTTCGGCCCGGGGTTCGGCCCGGGGTTCGGCCGATCGAACGAATTCGGCGACTCTCCGGGAATTGGGAGAAGACCCACCTGTCCCCGACTCGCGCCACCTCTCGTAATTTCCAGTTGACGCGATGGCCCTCGTCTCCGTTGCCGATTCCAGGCGGCGTAATAACGTAACGCAAACGCCCCAGGGGGAGGAAAGAAATTGCCGGGGCTATTCGCGTCTCGCCCGCGGGAGTTTCCGCATCTGCTTCGCGGACTCCTTAAGGGTCTCGCACGAAACGACCCCCCTTCCGGGCCCCGTAAAAAAACGGAATTTGACCCGCGACCGCTCCGAACGAACGCGGGAAAAATATTAAGGGAGCGTTCGCCATTGTTCCACCTCGTCCCGTAAAAATGCGCGCATGGGTCAGGCCCCTCCCCCATGGCCGCGGCCCCGGGCCCGATCCCGAGGAATCCGAGGGCACGTCGGAGCACCCGCGAGCACGCGATGCACTCGCGTTTCCCGGAACCCCCGGGACCCTCCCGGACAGGCGAGATACGGGAACCGGCGAGGACCACCTCGGCCGCGATCCTTTTTGCGGTCCGGCGGATTTCGCGAGATTCGCGGAATGCCCCGGCGAAAATAATCGAGGCCCTTTTCCGGTTTCGGGCCCGGCGGACAAATCGAATCGATAATGCTCCCCGAGACCAGGGACGCGCGTAATTAATGTGGCACGATTAAGGCCCCGGGGCCCGGCCCTCGGTTTTGTTTCGGTCCCGGGATGTTTAGCGCCCTGCTGGGGGCAATCCTGTTCGCTATGGGGGGTCCCGGCACCCACCGGTCCTCCGCCCCCGGACATCGGGGGTCCTCTCTGATCGGGCCGACGAATGGGTCCCATCGGCGCGGGGAAACGCCTCGGTGGAATTCCAACGGGGCCCCATTAACCGGCGGGCCCCGTTTCGGACTTTACGAGGACGCGCGCGGGGCCCGGCCGAAGGTCGATCTCTCGTTAAATGCGCGATTTATGGGACCGCCGAGGATTCTCACTTACGGCTGGCCGCGTCGAACGCGAGGATTCCCGATTTATTTACTTATTCGTTTAACGAACGCCGCCTCGCCGGTGGGAGACTTCTCGGCCGGGATTCGCCGGTCTCGCGGTCGGAGGAGACGCTCGCGACGCGCGGTGCTCCGATTCGTTGCACCTTTTTTAACGGGGTATCCCCAACGCGGCCGCGCGATCCGTATCCCGTAGGCGATCGGTCACGAGGGACGATTAACGAAGCGAAAGGAGCTACCAGTCTCTCGAGAGCCGGGGCTCCTTCCATATGGACCGGTAAAGAATCGACGCGGTCATCGGGTACTCCTTTTTTCTCGGCGTGACTCCGCTACTCCCGCGGCGGCGGATCCTTTGACTCCTAAATTCGGCCTCGATCGGCATCGCCACGCCTGGATCGGATCCGAGTTTGTTTTCCCCGAGGAGAAAGGCGCCCTTTGTGCGTCCTCCCGATTTCACGTGCCCCCGTCGACGAGAGATCGGACGGTCGTCGGTTTTCCGGGAAACGGAGCCCCCTGATTTATTGCGACGATTCAGGCGATATTTACCGGTCGGTAGTGCCCGCAAACAAAGTTTCGTCCAAATCGGTAACGTCGCGGTCGCGAATGGTTCCTCTTAATTCTATTGCGCCTCGTCACGTGAGTCGAAGGAACGTTCCGTGCGCGACTCGTGCTGGCCAGTCCCTCGGCCCGTCTTCTTTCCCGTTTTTGATGTACTCGACATGACCGCGGAATTGCCCGGGGATTCGTGCCCGCCCTGCCGGAATCGATCCAACGACCGACTGCCGGAGAACGCTTTCCATACTTCCGAGACGACCGAACGCTCGGAAGTCGAGAACGGTTTCGGCGATCTCCGATGAATTGCACGAGGGGGCTTTGATCGAATATGGAAGTACGGTTAGAAAAAAAAAACACGAGGGACGACGTAAAGAATTTATCCCGCGCCAGTGTTCTCCGGAACGGCTCTTGGACGAGGCGAAGCTGGAAGAAAGCGAAAGGCCAAAAAGAAGAGCCGAAGCCAACGGGAGGCGCGGAGTTCGCCGAGGGAGCTTCCGTTGAACTGATTAGAGCCGAGGCCTCTTCGAAGAATCTTCGCGGTGGAATGCGCTGAAACGGTGGACGCATCCGAGAGCGTTTCGCTCGCGATTGCCCGTCGATTCTTCGAGAGAAGCGCCGAGGCCCCGATCGATTTCCCCTCGGTCCCCGTCCCGGGTCGTTCGAGGACCCTCCGGTCCTTCGCCGTGGGAAATTCGGCGGGATTTTGGGAACGGGGAAGTGGGCCAGGACGTCCCCTACCGGGTTTACGAGCAGGACCCGCGGACGTTGCGTCGTTCGCTAAAACACCGGCTTCGCCGTGGCCGGAGCGATCCAGCCTTCGGCGTCGTTCGACCGTCGGCGTAATGATACGCTACGGCCTTTTCTTCCTGAAAAAGGGGGGAATGCGTCACTTTAAGCGGAATCCGAACTCCCGTAGGTTGCAAACGGTTTCCTGGGAACATTATCCTCCTCCGTCCTGACCCGGAATTCGAGGGAAACCGTTAAAGCGCTAGCGACCCTTCCCGGAGGATCCGATCCCGCGGGAGAGGTAAGGTCGAGAGAGTCCGCGCTCAAGAGTCGCCTCCGTCTGTTTCAGGTGTGGTTCCAGAACCGGCGAGCCAAGTGGAGGAAGCAGGAGAAGGTGGGCCCGCAGGCGCACCCCTACAACCCCTACCTGGGGGCGGGCGCGCCCCCGCCGTCGGCGGTGGTGGCGCCGACCCTGCCCAACCCTTTCGCCCACCTGGGCACCTTCGCCCTGCGCAAGCCCTTCGACGCCTTCCGCTATCCTCCCCTGGGCCACGGCCCGGTCCTGCCGGCGGGTTACCCCGCGCACCCCTACCACCGGGCCCCGCCGCCTCTGCTGCCCCCGGGGATGCCCCTGCCCTACACCTCCGCCGCCTCCTTCCAGAGCCTCCTGGCCAACATCTCGGCGGCCCAGCGGCCGAAGCTGCTGCGGACGTCGCCGCCGCCCCCGCCCCCGCCGACCGCCCCGGCGATCGGCCTGCCGCCGCCACCCCCGCCCGCCGCCCCCTCCCCGCAGGGCTCGCCGCCCGCCGGAAGCGCCACCGCCCTCCCCGACATCGACCGGCGGACCAACAGCATCGCCTCTCTGCGGCTCAAGGCCCGCGAGTACGAGCTGCACCTGGAGATGCTGCGCAAGAACGGGGATCTCATCAGCTGAGGCGCCGTCCTCCCCGGGACGAGACCCGAGGCCGGCCGGCCCGAGGTCGGATCTTGTAGGGTCTTCGGTGACGTTAGAAAATTCGGAGATTTAGACCCGTTCCTCGTTTTGGGCCCGCTGTGGAAGCGGGGAGGAGGGACTGCGATTTCCTGAGGAATCGCTAGTATCGATTCCAGCGGATCGTCCTCCTTGGAAGGACCAAAACGGAGAACGCTCTGCCCTCGCGAAGTTGGTGTACCGAGTGGACCGATCGTTGCGGATTTTTTTTTTTTTTTTTTTAAAGCAATATTCTAAGGATCCTCGAGGATTCCGAAATTTCCTTTTAGTCCTCATCGCGGAGAAGCGTTCTCCACTCTTTTTCTTCAGAGGAACAGAGAAACGTGCAATATCCTGAAAGGACGCCCGAAGTAAAATCGCCGCGGACAATTGTTGCTATCGTTGTTGACAAAATTAAAAAAAAAAATGTTATTTAGATATCGCCGCTGTATCTATAATCGAGAGATGAGAGCGACCGTAAACTTTCAACGAAACCCCGTGCCTTAGAGAAGGTCTTTTGGTACCCAAAGGAGATACCAATTTTTGACCCGAATTCGAGGTCGCGAATTAGACAAATGGGTCGACCTTAAGGGGAAACGCGTCCGTCCAATCGTTCCTCAAGGTGTGCGAGAACTTTGCGCCCTGCAACGAGACGATTCGTTTAAGAGCTTACTTTATCGCGCAATGAAGTTTTTTATTTTTATTCTAGTTTCGTTAGGAATAACGTTTAAGCCAGGAAACGTCTCCAAGTGCCTGCGAGATTAGGATTCTCGAGTTTCCGAGATCCTTTCGTATTTAAAGCTCTACCGTAGGAGCTCGTCGACCGTTCCGTTCCGAAGGAAGAGTTCTTTGAAAGACGCGATGGCAATCGCCGACTCCTGCAAAGACGGACGTTACGACGTACATTGTACTTATTCTTATTAACCTTTATCCTCCTTTTGTGATGAATAAACGTATGACCACTATCGCCGCACTTCGGGAGAAGTTTCCCAACCATTTTCAGCTAAAAATCACCGACTTGCGGAGAAAGAGAGGTAGCCAACGCCGAAACCGAGAGTTTTTTAAACTGGCTACTAGGAACGCTTCGCGAGCGCTCGTCGAGGTAAACGCAGCGAACGCAATCGGGAAAATCCCGGTCCTCGGGTCCCGACCAGGACGCGGAATCCCGGAGGAGCAGCTTCTCGTCCCCGGGGAGGACCACGGATCGGAATGCGGATCACGCTCGAGGGACCGGCTCCCAAATTCATCGTGTGTCGGGCCGGCATTAGCAAATTACTACGGTGTAAACAAATCGACGCTCGCGATCATCCCCGGTGCGCCAGTTAGTTAGTACCCCGTAATTACCGCGACGATTTACACCGGTTCTAGCCACCTAATAACTGTCTACATCAGGATGAATTTAGCGGTCGCTCGTCCGGGAGAGAGAGCCGCTTCTTCGGCTTCTTCTTCGGCTTCTTCGACCCTCCCGGCTCCGAGACGTTCCCCGAGATCATCGATCAACTCGCGCGCCCGGCAAAGGAACGAGGTTGATCGATTTCTCTCGAATTCGCCCACGTGGAGAAAATTCCTGGCTCGCTATCTTACTTTTTTTGCAAAATATTGACATTAAGTTAGAAGTTAAAAGGATGGTAAAAAGAGGCAACGAGTCTTTGGAGTCTCCGGGACTCGGTCCAATTCGTCTTCTTCGCCTGGGATGAAGGCCGAAGGGGAAACGCTCGAGCGAAACCAGAATACTCTTTTAACCGACGATTGCGTCTCGACATCCTCGTTTTTCGCACTTTGACGGATATCTCAGCCGGTAGCCTCGCCTTCCCAAGAAGCGCGGACCGAGTTCTTTTGGCTCTTTTGGCTCTTTTGGCGTCGGCACGCGCATGGGGCCAGTTATCCGGTTAAGAATCCCTAATTACGGGTTTGCCGGTTAACTAACTCGGTTAACGTGGCCTCGAGAAATCGGTGTCTCGCCTATCATCGAGATGGATGCAGATTGCTCGGCGCGTTGCCTCTTTTGCGCACTTTGCTCGGCTCCGCCTTTCGACTCCCGGAACGGCTCCGGGAGATCCCCGAGACGACCGATAAACACCCGGGGATCTCCGCGCGGCGTAAACGCAAACGCGAAAAATCCACGGAAGCTGGCCCGAAGACGGGTAACCGACTCGGCGCACCTCCGAACGTCGTCGGTTCCCAGGAACCTGACCGGCCGGTGTCGGTGCACTCCGCGGGACAATCGGTACCCGAGGAGAAGGGCCGGCCAGCTCCGAGATGAAGGATGTACGACGTGACGGTCTAATTGAGGCCTCCTTGATTGCATTTACACCGCGGCGCGGCCTCCCGTATCCGCTCGGTGCATCCACCTCGAGGAGCGGCCGACGCCGTGCCGCTTAAGGCCCATATCGCTTGCGAAGCTTTCACGGATTATACGGTTCGTTCTATCTATTTACGCGTCGAGCCCCCGAAGAGCAAGCGGCCAGGACTACCAACCAAACGGAGCGAGTCGACGACGCCTTCCCGCGTGAAAACGTGAGAAAACATCTCGTACAGCGGCGTCCACCTGCGGTCATAACGATCTCGCCTGCTCTTCGGTATCGACGACGACGACGACGAGATGTCCGATAAGGGATCGTATCGATCACTGGCCGAACGAGGCCTCTCGGGGGAAACACCTCCTCGGCCGCGAGGTGGTGCGCTTGAAAAATGGCCGCTCTCAAAGGAACGATCAACCGGTTGCCGCGAGAATCGCTTCCGACCGACGGGACGCCGAGGAAGAGGCCGAGGAACCCTTTAACGATCGGCCGGGTTTTACGGTGGATTTTTTCATCGGTCCAAAGTTGACCCGCGACGAAGCGCGGGAGGAGTCGCCGAGGAATTTCCGTCGATCCCGGGTGCGGGAAGAATTTAATGCGGAGAACTTTTATGTCTCGCGGAATACGATTCTCGGTGCGGCGGATCGGGGCGCGGCATAAAACGCGAAAACGCCGCCATTAGTTATTCGACGGCCCGACGCGGAATGCCACGGGCTCTGGAGCCTTATTAAGCCCGTTACGTCTTAATTTATTTTCTTATTTAAAAAAGCCACGCGAGACGGCGAAGTAACGATATAATTTTGCGAGGCGCCGCGGCCATTTGCGTTCGAAGCCCCGGAGGCGTCACCCCCGGATCGGATTCCCCGCCTTCGAATTCGCTTCGCCCTCCGTTTTCCTTTTTATTCTCCTTCCAGAGAATCGATCGATCCGCCTCCTGCGCGTAGAAATTTTGAGTTCCGCGAAACTCGAGGAAACCCCTTTGTCCCAGAACTTGGCTTACTTCCGACAGCTTCTGCAAGGCTGGGCATCGCGAACGCTCCGCGGTCGCGAGATCCACAATTGCGGCCGAGTAGCCTGCGGTTTGCACCTCCTGTGGGAAGATCCTCCGGCCGCGTTCGTTGCATTTATCTCGGATAAATGGCTCGCTGCCCCCAACTCGAGAATTCATCGCGAAACCGTCGCAGAGGCACCGAATGCATTCGCTGCGTCCAAATTACCACCTCCTTCCGAAAACTTTTTCGCGACTTGCGCGTGCATTCATTTCGTTCTTACCCTTGCCGTACTTACGGAAGTAAGCTAGTCGAGGGGATGCCGCAATTCCGATTCGCGTTCCAATGTGCGTTCGTCCGCGAAGCAGCGAGCGCGCGCATCTTAAAACGCGTTGAATAATGCATTTCCGCGTAAAATATCCTCATTTCGGAGACATGTATCTTCCCCGTTTTAATGCGCCGAGGATTATTAAAGAAGTCCCCCGGATAGCCGCCGCGTTCGCTGCATTTACTGCACCTGCTGCATAATTTCGCCTTAATCCCGAATTCCATCGGGACGCGCCGACAGCCCTCTCTCGCGTCGCGCCTCCCCGACCCCGAGGCCCTTCGCCGAGACCTTCGCGATTTTGTCAAAACCTTGACTTAAAAAAAAAAAAATCTATCCCGTTGTTAAATATTTATCAAGGGATCGAACGTTCTTCCCCTTAACTCGATTACCTCGCGGGCGAAGGAGTTCCGACAAAGTCCTACCCTGGATGCGCGTCCTCCTGTCCGGTCGCGGCGTCCATCTTTGCCGTTCTCGGTGAAATTCGCGGACGACGAAAACGAGTTTCGATTCTTTACTCGGAAGGGCCCCCTCCGCCGCATCCTTCGGGCCCGAATCCCGCGGGACGCGGTCGCAACACGCACGTCGGAGAAAAACCGGGAGCGGCCGGTCCGGCGAGAGGTGCATTAGCGCGCTGCGGTTTCCACCTTTCTCCCCTGGTTCCTGTCGGTCCGGGTCGGTCCGGGTCGGTCTGGGTCGGTCCGGGTAGGTCCGGTGGGAAAGATTAAGCCGAGTACGCTCGACCTTGTTCGCGATGAACCGCGAGCGTTGCCGCCATTAGGCGGCTTCGGGCCCGACGCAATCGCGCCTCGTCATTTGCGCCGCACTCGCAATTGCGGTGTCGCCTTACCCCTGTCCAACCCGAAGGTTGCCCGAAGGCAATCCCGCGGACTCCCCGAGGAACGAAGGCACGATTCCCGGTAAACGAGGAAAAGTATCGGCCGAATCTTTCCACGGGAAATCGTTGAACGCTTCGCAGAAAGTTCCGGAAGGATCACCTCGTTCGCCGGTCCATTGGGTTCGATGGATGAAATCGCTCGGACCTCCTTTCTCGACCGGCCTTAACGATTCCTCCCCGAGGAGCCATCGAGCCCGCCACCTCGTGCAACCTGCGGACGCCGAAGGACATCCATCAAGCGCGCACAAAGCACCCACGTGCGAGGTAGCCGGTGTCATTGGCGCTTCCTCGAATTAAGCGGCATTGTTTAAAAGAGAATCCATCCTGATTGTGGATGAGCGAGACGAATGGCCGCGCGTCCCGGAAGCGGAGGCGTCGAGCGAAGTCGGCCATCTCGCTGCGCCTCCTCTAACGAGGCCCATCGATTACCGGCTCCTCGAGGTTCAACGGAAGGAGGAAATTAACCCCTTCGCGGCCGAGCGTTCTCGCACTCCTGGACCCGAAGCGGGCTCGCAATTCGAATTCGAAATCGGGCTCTCTAATTTCGGGCCGCCGCGAGTCCGCGCTCGGAAGGCCACCAGGGGGCCGCCCTCGGGATTCAATTAAAGGAAATAGTTGTAAGTGATTCTCAGGGAAGCTCTCTCTCTCTCGGCACCTCTGGCGGAAATTGGTCTATCCAGGGGCATCGGTCGAAAGGAGCGA